CCCCCCGACGCTCCATCCCGACTCGATCCTACCTGGCCGCTCCGCAAGGATACGTATGATGTGGTGCAGGGGGGCGTCCTTTGATGACGTGAGTGCGCGCTCGCGTCGTCCGCCCCGCCCTCGCCCCGCGGGCCGAGCGGCCGGGGCCGGAGGACGAGGACGCGTGTCCTGTTGGCTGAGCCGTAGTGCTACGCCACACCTCTGGCGGAAGTCGTCGTTGATTGTCGTCCATACAGCGATTCCTGACCGCGTCCTCGCTCGTATGCGCACGGCCGCCCCCTCGGCGATGGTATCACTGCCACTGCCAAGGATGTCCTGCTGGGCGTCCACGGGGGTGGGGTGGTAGAGGGGGTGCTGGAGGGAGAAGGAGCTGCTGTCGGCCCGCGCATGGGAATCATTCGTCACCCGCGGAAAAGATGGAATGGAACGATAAAGAGGAAAGAAACTGTACGTAATGAGTGAGAGAAGCCGCGGTGCTGTTCGACCCCCCCTCCCCTCTCCCCCCGCCTGCGGCTGTTGTCACCGAGGACCGCGATTGGATTTCACCGGGACGAGGGGGGGGGGGCGGGGCCGATCGGAATCGTTCTTCCACCGCATTATAATTCTCTCTCTCGCTCTCCCGGAGGCCTCAAATGTTATACTACTCTGCTGGCGTTGCCGAGTGTACGCCCGGAGGGGAGACGGGGAGTGGGGCAGGCGGGGCGGGGGTCGGAAGCGACGCCGCTGGAGATGGATCCCGGCTCGGCCTGGAGCAGGCCTGGAGGATCTGGATGCTCCAGCAGTGGTCCGGCGGCCCCGCCCCCAAGCTAGCAGCAGCAGCAGCACCTGAGTGCCTTCCAATGTCCGAGCTAGGCCGGAGGGGAGGGTGGGGTGGGCGCCGAGGTCGAAGGGTGGCGGAGGGCTCACCCCTATCACCTGCGCCACTGGCCGCCTCGCTGCATTCAAGTATGTCATGCTTATCGTGGCGCTTTGGCAGCGGCAGCAGCAGCAGCAGAAAGCAGCACGGCGGTCCGGTACTCATGCGTCGCGGTGGACGGCGACAGGACAGCGCGGTCCGGCGGCGGTGTTGCGGGGCGGAGGAGTGGCGTCGCCTTGAGAGGGGGGGAGGCAGGGGAGCGGCGAGGGGAAGCGGGCCTCTGGGGCCTCAGCATGGCGTCGCTCGGCCCGACTCGACTGGGGCCTAGCCGCGCTCGAGCCACGCCGCGCCACGCCGCGCCGCGCCACGCCGCGCCGCGCCACGCCGCGCCGCGCCTTGCCATGCCCCGCCCGGGGCCGGGGCCCAAGCCAGCCAGCGAGCCAGCCATCCCGGGAGGCCCACAGGGGCCGCCACCCTGCGACTTGAAATCGATTTCAAACTCAACCAACAACATCCAGCCCAGCCAGCAGCAACAGCACGGAGTGGCGGCGGCGCGGGGGCGGCGCGGGGCGGCCAGAGGTGGTTGGTGGCGCCGTGGAAAAGGAGGGAGGGAGGGAGACGGGCAGATAAAGAACGGCATAGAGGGATGTGAAAAGCGGAGGGAAGGGTAGCCGGAGGGAGCGAATGTGTGTGTGTGTGTGATAGAGAGAGAGCGAGTTGGGGGTGGGGATGGACGACAGAGGCACGTACACGGGGCGGGAGGGAGAGAGGTGAGGTGTGCGAGTGTCGTCCAGTCCCCGGGGAGTCCGCGCCCGTGTCGCTGGCCGTTCGTCGCTCGGCGGCGCGGGGCGGGGAGGTGAGGAGGTGAGGTGATGCGGGTCCCAGCAGTCCCACGCTGGCAGCTCAGCTCGGCCTGGCCTGCCTCGGCCACGAACACACATCGGGCGGTCGGACGGGGCGGACGCGGACGCACGGACTCACTCACACAGAGAGTCTAGGGGGACGCCTGTAAATGAATGCTGATCAGCAGCAGGAGGTGCGCGGCTGCGCGGCGCGAGCCGGCCCCTGTGTGTGCGTGCGTGTGCGCGTTAGCCACATTAGTGGCAGGCCGTTGAGTCGCACCGCCCTGCCGCGCCGGTTGCGTTACAGCGCCAACCCGGTAATTGTCTTTCTCTCTCATCGGTCTTTAGCCCCCTTTGCACCCCATGCCTCCGCCCCCACCCCTCCTCTCTCCACCGCATAAGAAATCTTATGCAGGGGGGGGGGTGTAGGGTGCGTCACGGCACGGCATATCGCGATTAGGGGGCGCTATTTGGTGTGTGTGTGTGTCGCAGTAGCACGGTGGAGGTGGGGGAGGGGCAGGGAGCTGTGTGTAAAGTAGTCGAGCGAGTGGCGAAACGAAAACAGTCTTGCAGCCGGGGCCACCACGGGCAGCAGCAGCAGAGGCAAGCGCCGTGACTATTGCCCTGGCACTGCGGCAGGGGAGGGGGGGGGGGCTGTCAGCCCGATGCGCGTTGCGGCCACATTCCCTCCTCCCTCCCTCCTCCGCTCCCCGTGGCCTCCCCGTCCCCTTGGTGCTCCACAACGCCCCCCGCTGCTGCTGCTGCCGGGCCGCGGGCGCCGCCGCCGCCGCTGTACGTACTTTTTGAAAGGACGACGAGATTGGCCGGCTGGGCTGGTCCTGGCGGGTCCTGGCTGGTCCTGGCGGCTCCGACGTGGCCACGACACGACACGCCGAGGACGCGCCGCCCGGCGCGGCCCGGCCCATGGCAGCCCGACCGCACCTCCATGCATCGTCGTGGTCGCGGCGCGTGACGCCGGCGCAGCTCGCGGCCAGAAGAGCGGCGCGGAGCGGCGACGGCAGGGGGGCTCCGAGCCGGACACATGCTGCTCCCGCCCCATACCCCGCGCCCCGCGCAGCCGGCTCCTAAAATTATCCTCTCATTATCATCTCAGCCGGTAGCTGTCGGCCGGCTCGCTGGCCAGCAGGCCTCCTGGCCGCGCTGCTGCGCGCCTCTCAGTTTCGCCCGCTGACGCTCGCCGATGGCCGTTTGCTGTGCTGTGTATGTGTGTGAGAGAGAGAGGGTGAGGTGGTGCGGGGGGCGCGCATGGGCCGAACCCTCTCCTGATTGGCCACCTGGGCCCCGGTGCGCCGGGCACGTGACCGCCGCCGACAACACGTCCGTGAATGCCCTCGCCGTGTGTGTGTGTGCGTGCGTCGCGGGGCCGTCTCGCTCGAGGAGCGTTATTTATCGGGAGGGCTGTGAGCTGAGCCCCTCGCGGAGTCGCTGTGCGGCACGGCCCCATGGCTGGTTGGTGGAGCTCGTCCTGAGCGTCGCGTCCTTTGTGTCCCCCGCGCGCGTGGGAAAGGGGGTGGGGGCTCATCCTGGTGCTGGCGCCAGGGCTACGCCACAGGGCCCCCGGGCTCCAGCCCCTCCCCTCCCCCGCGCCCCCCGCGCGCCCAGCGACGTGGCCCCCACAGCAGCAGCAGCAGCAGCCCAGCGCCGCGAAAGGGGGATGGCAGGCCGCACGGGATGGGCGGAATGGAATGAAACGAGAAGAGAAGGGGAGGGAGAGGGGGCAGGCCCTGCGCTAGGGCAGAGCGGAGCGGGCTGTGGGGCCGTAGGACTGGTCCTCCAAGGCACACAGCATCCGACAGCGCAGGCACAGCGGGGCGGGGGGCGCAGGGAGCAGGGCGCAGCGCAGCGCGGCGCAGCGGAGCCTTCATTCGCACCGCTCTCTTCTTCCCCTCCCCATCCCTGTCGTGCTCTCTCTGTTACTCTCCCTCTCTCTCCCTCCCCGTGTTCGATCACGTCCGTAAGGTCCCCCTCCCCCGCTTGCGGCCTGCCCTGCCTCCTGGGCCGCGCCCGTGCTGCGCTTGGGCTGGGGCGGCCTCACTCCTGCGCGAATCAAGCTGAGCCGCCACCGCCACCGTTGAGGCCATGCTCCAAAAATCTTTGACTCTCCCCCCCCCCTCCCTATTTCTATGTTTTCGAGAGCGGTATTGTACGCGATCGGGACTCTTAAGTCCTTATGTACAGTACTTTAAACAATAAACAATCAATCAATCCCTTATCTCTCCTACAGTCATTTCTTGATTTCGTTACGCGTTTTAGGCCCGGCGACGGACCGTAATCAAGAAACCCCAGGTAGGGACCGGGCACCGCTCCTAGGCGTGGATCGGGGCGAGGCGGGGCCCTCCGGCGGCCGGTCGCCA